TCGATTTAAAAATAAAAAAACTTAACAAATTAAAAAGATATTTTTAAATAGTTTTTTTTATTATTATGATAATATTACCTTTTTTTTCGTTTTTAATTTCTTACTCGAGTGTGGTTGGAAATTCGGGGATGACTCCCAGTCAAAAGTTGTTTGTATCATGTTTCTGCATAACATATATTTGTTATAGAAGTTAGTTTTTATTTTTTTTGTGTTTTTTTCCTTTTTTTTTTTAATTATTTCAATTATTTTTTTTTGTGTCTTCTATTTTTAACTCCGGTTTGGTACAGAATTTCGAGATGAGTCTCAGGCAAACTTTGTTTGAAATATCATTTTCCATAACATACGTTTTTTTCAGATTTTTTCGATGATTGTGTGTTTTTTTTTTATTTACGTATTCCCACGTACGGGAGTACATGTACGCGCGTACGTGTCCCCTACAGGAATACGTGTACGCGTGTACACGCAATCCACGTACACATACGCCATGCTACCCAGCTTTTTTGAAACCTTATTTGTAGATTCTCTATTATGTAAGATACACATTCATAAGTTTTGATGGCACAGTAAAAAAAAAATGAAAAATCGCCAAAGATGGTGGTGTCAAAAACGTGCTCGCCCACTCAATAATTTCATTCTCGTTTTACTTTTTCTAATTTTCATTATTATTATTCATTTTTAGTATTTGATTTTTATTTTAAGTTTGGTAACGAATTTGGATGTAACCTTGAGGCAAATGTTGTTTAGTTTATTCTTCTACATAATATATATTTGTTTCATATTTTTTGGATTTTTTTTTTATCTTTTTGGGTCCACCTACGTAGCACCGTGTTCGCGTTCGGAGGCGAACACAAACATGTTCGCCCGAACGTGAACAAGCGCCAAAACCCCTCCAAACGCGAATATCAAAAATATATATTAAAAAAAAAAAAAACTTCTCAGAAAAATCTGAAAACATATATGTTATGTGAAATAACAATACAAGTAACTGTTGCCTTGAAGTCATGTTCAAATTCGTAGCCAATCATGAGTTAAAAATCAAAACGTCGAGAGGGGGTGCCGAACGTTCGGGCGTTCGGGCGTTCGGGTTCGGGCGTTCTGCCTGTCACGATGGCCGGCAACCCTGTATAAATATATATATATATAGAAACTAATTTGAAAAAGCAAAGCAAAAAAAACACAACAACGATTTGGCAGCGAAGCTGTCTAGGCTACCAGCCGGGCCGCCCGGGTCCCGGGTGGCCAACCAAGGAAGGTCCCAAAAAAAAAAAAAAAAAAAAAAAAAAAAAATCCACAAAATCCAAAAAAAAAACTATGTTATGCAAAAAAAAAAAACTGAATAACTTTTGCCTCAGGGTCACATCAAAATTCTTCACCAAATTAAAAAATATATAAGTATATATAAATCATTTATTTTTATTTTTATTTATTTATTATTTTTTTGGCCCGGCCTGGCAAGTGACCCCGGGCCACTCTGGTAGCCTAGGAAGTTGTATGAAAAACAGTTGCTGGAAAGGAAAACCACTCAAACAATTAACTTTTAGTTTCAAAAAGGCGTATGCTGGAAAAAAATTACACAGGTCGTATCATCCTTTCGCCCCCTGTTACGTGCCACTTTTGTCCGTTTTTGCTGAGTTCCTTCAACATGGTAATCTCAAGCGCCTTATATATATATATATATGGTCACCAGCCCGTACGTACGGAGGTCCCCGGGCAGACCTCCGTACGTACGGGCATTCGGGGTCCCGTACGGGGTCCGAACCCGACGGCGTTCGGCCCCTGCAAAAATTATTTCGGGATCTAAAAATAATATTTTTTTTCTGAATTGTTTTTTGCGCGTTCTCTATGACGTGAGGTCCATGCCTGTGAATTCTCAAGTCATTTATCCAAGCCAAATAAGAATTAAAAATTGCCAAAGATGGCGGTGTCAAAACGTGCTCGCCCACGTATTTTTTCACTTCTTATGTTTTGTTTTCATTTTAGTTCGGGGTCTAAACAATTTTATTATTTTTTGAAACTTTTTAAGTGGGTTTTGTATTATGTGAAGTACACATCCGTAAATTTTCAGGGCATTTAGCTAAGCCAAAAAAAAAAAAAAAAAATCGCCAAATATGGCGGTGTCGAAAACATACTCTCGTACTCACTAATTTTATTTATTTATTTATTTTTAATTAGTTTTTATTTTCAGTATTTTATTTTTATCTCAAATTTGGTAAGGAATTCGGATGTAATGCTCAGGCAAATCTTGTTTAATTTATTTTTCTCCATAATATACTAGACTACCAGTCGGGCCGCCCGGGTGCCGGTGGCCAGCCCGTGAAAGGACCAGGGAAGGTCCCAGCAAAAAAAAACAAAAAACAAAAAACTCCGAAAAAAACTATGTTATGCAGAAAAATAAAGTAAACAACGTTTGCCTCAGGGTCACATCGAAATTCTGCACCACATTTAGAAAAAAAAATAAATCTTAAAAATATTTTTTTTTATTTTTATTTTTAATTGTTTTTGGCCCGGCCGGGCAAGTGACCCTGGGCCACTCTGGTAGCCTAGATAATATATCTTTTTTCAGATTTTTTTGATGACTTGTTTTTTTTTTTGTTTTTTTTTTGGTCCGCGTTCGGCCCGAACTGCCGAACACATCCCCAAGGGGTCCCATACGCTCGGGCGTTCGGCCCATCCCGAACGCCGCCAACCCTGTATATATATATATATATATATATATATATATATATATATATATATATATATATATATAGGCTACCAGCCGGGCCGCCCGTTGATCAGAGATCTCTTCTGTCGGGCCGCCCGGGTCCCATACGTTCGGGCGTTCGGCCCATCCCGAACGCCGCCAACCCTATATATCGTGCGAAGAACTTTGCTGAAATCTGGGAGAAAAATGAAAGATTGAGTTATAGGTGCTTTCAAGACTATGACTCATAAACCTGTGCCCGACAGAAGAGATCTCTGATCAACGAGATGCTGCACAAGATTAAGCAGACCACCATGTCGGTGGAAAGAGTGGGCGAATATGTACTCACGCTGAACCGCGGTCTGAGGCTGCAGGCCTATCCCGGGGAAATTTTTCGAAAGGTTCTGTTTCGATTTGTTCATGCGTGTTCCTCCGAATGGGGCCCGGTAGTGTATGGCCTTCCGTTGAGCGGGTAGGGAGAGTCAGAAATGATGCTGTCTATAGCTTTCGGAGCTATGGGGTTGTAGGCCCGACAATTCCTGTCCAGACGATCGGTGGTGGTTAGTCCTTTGTTTGGGTCTGTTTGGCCTTGTTTTGCATTGTTTCTATCTTTTGTTTCTGCTTCTGTGTCTTGTTTTTTGCCGTTTAGGTAATGGCCTTTCGCCCTGTCCTTTTGACGTTTTTTTTTTGGTTGGCCTTGAGTAAGTTTACGAAGGGATTCGAACTATTAATAGTTAGGGAACGATAGAGTAGGCATTTGCAGTGAACTCTGCTCTGCCATCGATATTGACGCCCCGATGCCGAATTGATAGCGGAGGACGAAGGGGAGGGAATGGTGGAAACAGAGGGTGTGCGGTCAGAGCAGAGGACGTCGTGATGGGCAGTGAATCCCCCCCGGTGGCGGCCAGGCGCAGCCGCGGCCAGGCCGCGAAGCCCGCGGACATGTCCGCGCGCACGCGCTCATTCGCGAACACGTGGCGGCCGCAGGGGAGGGTTTGAAGATTCTGACGGCGCCACGTGGCGGCGCATCCCCTGGCCCACCCCCCCACACAAAAAAAAAACGAAAAATATCAACTTTTGGTGGGGGGGTATGGGCGAAATCCAACGAAAATGGAAAAAAAAAAAAACGTGTTTTTTTTTTTTT